AAAAATTTTAAAAATATATATATATATATATATATATATATATTTATATATATTTTATGTATATATTCTTCATATCTTATATCTTATTAAATATTAAATATTTTACTAATAATAAAATTATTATTTATTTTAATATTTTATTTTTAATATATTTATTTAAAAATAATTTTTTTATATTTAAAAATAATAATAAAATTAATAAATCATGTTATATTTTAGCTTAATGGCAAGTCTATGTTATTTATAATAATTTAATTTTTTTTATCTATACTTTAATATAAAATATAAATATAATATTATTTTATAAATCAATTCATTATAAACATTCAAAGAAAAATAAAAATTTAATATTGGAAAATATTTAATTGATACAAATATTATTGATATACTAGTTAATATATCAATTTAAAACCCATAAAAACTTAAATTGTAAAATATAAAATAATTTATATAATTAGATTATGTGAATATTATAGATATTATAAATTTGAATAAATAAATTTTCTTCAGTTAATATGTTGTTAAAAAAAAATATTATTAAATATGAAATACATATATATAAATATAATATATATATATATATATATATATATATATATAAATAAACATAATTATTTATCTACATTTTAAATATTACTAATAATTCAACTATTAACAAAATATAATTTTTCTAAATTTATAAATTTAATACATATTTATTATATTTTTTCAATTTTATATTACATAAATAATATACATAAAAAATTAATAAATTAAATTTAAATAAACAAATATATAAAAATGAGTTAATCTTAACTAATTTAAATATTAAAATAAAATTAAAGATCTTAGCAAGAAAATGATATACTTAAAAGTTTTTTATAATAAATAGAAGTAAATTTAATAAACTAAAATAAATATTTAATCATATATATATACTAAAACAAAAAAATACCTATATATATATATAAAAAAAGTTTTTTTAATAACTTTTTTAACATATTAAAGTGATCCTGAATTAATTACTAATATTTGCCTTGCCATAAAATATGAAAAATATAGAGAATTTCAAATAATATTTAAATAAGGCGAAACCTAATGTAATAAAGCCTATATAATAATAAAAGGTCAAGTATTAATTTTAATGACAAGCTTAATAAATTTATCTGATAAAACAATTGAAAACACACATTTTTTCCAAAAAACTAAACTCTAATTAAGCCAAGTACTCGAAATAATGGAAGATACATAAAATTATTAAGAAAAAAAGAAATATTAGATTTCTGATAGTGATTTTTTATTTGCTTTATAATAAAAATATGGAAATATAATTACATAATTAAACGACGGAGCTATTTTCGGCGAAAAATCATTAATAGAAAATAAGCCTAGAGCAGCCACTGTATGTACATCGACCCCTTGTGAGTTTCTAATTTTAAATAAAAAAGATTTTTAAAAAATCTTATTAGATAGAATTCATAAAGAAATCGAATAAAAAAAGAATTTCATAATTTAATACTTTCCTTTTATCCCAAAATTAGTCACAAGTAATAAAGCATTTGAAAGGATAATAAGATGTTTTGATAAACAAAATTTTTTCTAAAGCCAAATTATATATAATGAAAAATAAAACTTTTAAAAAATATATATTATTTTAAAGGGTGAAGTTAAACTATTTAAAACTTTTTATTACTAAAAACCAACTCATTTTTCACTTAATGATAATAAAAGTTAATTAATACATATAGCTACTTTATCTAATAATGATATTTTTGGTAAAAAATAAATTTTTTTATAATTATATATATATATATATATATATATATATATATATATATATATACTTATATATATTAGGAGAGGAAATTCTTTTAGATAATAATTATTTATATACTGTTATATGTTCTTCTAATTAAACTAATATTTTAGTTTTAGAAAAGAAAAATGCTTTAAAACAATTACCGAATTAGATAATCGAATATTTAGTTAAAAGATTAGATGAGAAAATTAAATAAAGGGAATTTGTTTTTGAAAAAAACATAATTATTTTGAATTAATATAGATAAAATGAACACGAAGTAATTAGTATATAAAAAAATAATGATTTCGAGTTAAAAATATGTGAGAAATTATGTCTAGAATATGAATAAAAGAATTAAAAGAATATTTTAGAAGATGAGAATTAATTGAGTTTACCTTAATTAAATTAAAATGAATAAAATTTTTTATTAAATTAAATAAAAGAAGACGCTTTATAAAAAATAAATAAAATAGCTAACAATATAGATATTATTAATTAAGATTTTAAGCAATAATAGGAATAATTTTCCCCTAAAATAACTTAATAAGAATAATTTTCCCCTAAAAAATCTTAATAAGAATAATTTTCTCCTAAAAAAACTTAATAAGAGTTGTTTTCTCCTAAAAAAAATTAATTTTCTCATATAAAAAAAAACTTCAATTAAAAATAGTCCTAAGAAAACAAAAGATTCACAAAACTAACAAATCTGCCTTTAGAATATATATAAGAAGATTAAATAAAACTCCATAAAATCTATTTAAGAATACTTTCCAATTCTCCTTTAAAAAAACCAAATATAATAATCTCCTCATAATAAACTTTAACCGAATAAAGAAAAATACTTAATAAATCTCCTAAATTAAGATAAATTAATATAATAAATTCTAAGTATTTAGGAGTTTCTATTCCTTCGAAAAATGCTCATATAGTAGATAATTATACAAATATAAATTAAAATTATTACTTTTACTAGTAACCATATTTATTGAAAAATTTGATTACTAATTAATAAATATCAGAAATTTAAAATAAAGATAGTTCTAAAAAAATAATTATAAATAATATAAAAGTTAAATTTGTAGAAAAATCCTTAATTATAATGACAAAAAAAATATTTATATATTTAAAAAAAAAAAAATATTTACAATATACAAAAAATAAATAATTTATAAATATATATATATATATATATATATATATATATATAGAAAAGAATAATATTTATATAACTTATATATATATATATATTATTTCAATAAATAGACAATTAATTTTATAATTTTAAAGCTAAATAATGTTCTTTTTAATTTAATTTAGAATATTAACCTGTATTATTATTTATCAATTAACAAATACTATTTTTAATATTAGTTTTTACTGATTCTTACAAATTAATTCTTAAATAAATAACTTATTAAATCCAGTTTAGAATATCCTAAACATTAATATTTTTTTCTAAAAAGCCACAAAACTAATTTAATAAATATTCCAAATGAATAATGTCTAATTTATCCGCACAAATAGCTATTTATTATATTTTAATAAAAAATATAAGAACATAAATATATATATATATAAATACATATATTAAAAAAATTAATGAATAAATATAATTTAAAAATAATTAATTTAGATAAATGCAAATATGAATATATATATATATATATATATATATATATATATATATTTATACAAGTAGATTTCATAAGTTCAAACAAAATATTTTAGTCATTCGAAATTAAAGTCAAGTCCATAAGCCTTTTTATATATTTTATTTTTTTAATTATTATAATTTTTAATTTATAAAATAAAAAATTACTTCATTTAATTTATCTTCAGAAATACGATTTATTGATTTTGTCAATGATATTACTTTCTTAAAATTATTATTATTATTATTATTGTTATTATTACATTTATTATTATAATATTAATTAATTATTATATTTATATGGACTTTCTGCTTTACTTGGTGATTAATTAATTGAAGTTTTATTTATTAAAGGCCTTTATTATTAATAAAACATCTAAGGACCTCCCATATAAATATTTTCCTATTCAAATATAGGAGATTATTAATAATAAACTGGATAAGAATTAACTTTTAATAGTAATTATTCTAAATAATTAATCCTTCCATGTAAATTTAAAATTTCATTCTACATATTATTTTCTATAAAGTCTAATTTATCAATAATTTTATTTTAAGTGCCTTCTATAATCGATATTTATTATTATATAATAATTTCTTAATTATTATTTGAGTTAATATTATTTATTTATTATAATTAATTACAATTACATCCACATTAAATAATATTTTTTCTTTCACTATTCTATATAAAATTATTAATTTATTTATTTTTCTCTTTACCACTACCATTTCCATTTATATTTTTTTCCAAAATAACATGACTATTATTATTTAATTAAAAACCTATATTACCATTATTTTCTCCCTAAAAGCCTTTATTTTAACCTAAATTATCATCCTCTATAGTATAATTGTTTTCTTTGATTTTCCTTGGTAAGCTTTCGAATATTTCGACTTCATTTTTCACCGCATTTTTAAGAAAATCCGCATTTATATTTTTTTTATTTATTTTTTTCATAACTTAATTTTTCACATTATTTCCCATTCCATTTTTTCCACTCTGGAGACTTTTTAACATTTTTAAAGCCATATCCGCCGCTTCTCTAATATTTACATTTTTATCACATCTACATATTTTTACCAATTCTACAATTTAATCTAAATATTACTCCAATTCTTCCCCCATTAACACCCCTAATGTATAAATCATGTCAATAGTAATCTTTCTAGCAGTTTATCCAACCAAATTTTGTACCAAAATTGGCACAATATTTTTCGCATAAGGCCTAAACTGTTCTTCTATGCAAATAATTAACGCCAAAAGGGCCATTAATATACTCTCTTAGGCACCTTCAGTAATAAAATGTCCACTTTTTGCCTAATTAATTAATATAATTACTAAATCATCCTTTATATTCAAAATACAATCCAAAGGTGAGCTCTAAATAATCCCCTAAAGACACATTGCGGACACCTACATAGTCTTATTTACAATCAAATGTTGTGAAACTAAATTAATAATGCTTATTAGATATTCCTAATCTTATATAGATTTAATTGTGTATTAACAAAACTAGCCTAGAGTAGTAGAAATTGCAGAATTTAAATGATTATTTTCACTTATATATGTATAAGTAAATATATATATATATATATATATATATATATATATATATATATATATATATATATATATATATATATATATATATATATATAAGAGTATATATATGTACTTAGAAATTATTTGTTTGCTTATAAATTGTAAAATTTTAGGATAAAATTCTAATAGCTTTTATTAATAAATTTATGATACTAATCCGAATAACTAAATGTATTCTTTTTAGGCATTTTTTGGTATATTTTCAATTAGGTTTTATAATATTATTTATACTACTTATGATGATTATTCGTTATTTAATAAAATTTGAGCCAGTTCATCTTATACGCCTTTGAAAGTACTTATTTACTGACTTTTATTTAATTTTTTATATTATTTTAAATTATTTTACTTTAGTTTAGATAAAGATTATTGGAGGTTATTTATTAATTGATTTATTTTGTTTTTTGGAGAACCAGATGTATTTTTTAAATTCATGTTTGTTATAAATTTAAATTATTTATATATAAATAAAATAAAATAATAATATATATCTATATATATAAGTATATATATATATATATATATATATATATATATATATATATATATATATATATATATAAATAATAGTTATTCAATTTTTAAAATTTAATTAAAAAATAATAAATTTAATATTTATTTCTTATATTTTATTAATATATATATATAATTTAATTATAGCTAAATATTTATATTTATAAATCTTTATTAAAAAATTATATAAAAATTTTTAAAAAAATATTTGAATATAAAATTAACAAATAAATCGTAATACTATATATATATATATATATATATTTATATATATATTATTATTTTATAATACTCTATAAATGCCTATATTTTATAATAATATAATGTTCGTATATACTAATTTATAAAAGTTAACTTAATAGAATCTAGTAAACTATTTTAAATAATCTTTTAAGATATTTAATAAAAACTAATACTTTACACAAAAAGCTTGAATTATATTTAATTTATAAAAACAAATAAAATTATAATATATTTATTTTTATTTTTATAAAATTAAAGAGAAAATAATATATTTTCACAGTTTATTTTTTATAAAAATAATTTTAAAAAGTTAATATTAATTTGATTATTATGACTAAAAATAATTATATCAATACGATATAAACTAATAAACTAAAAAATTTAAAATTTAAATTTTAATTGATGAAAAAATAACTAATAACTAATATAAATAAATATTAATAATAAAAATAAATTTAAATTAAATTAATTTAAGAGTTATTTAGAAAATTAAAAATATATAATAGATATATAGCATAAAATATATATATATATATAATATAACAAAAAAATTTATTTATAACTAAATCTTATCTTATGTATAATATATGAAGTTATTAATAATATCTTATTTTTCATCAATATTATTTCTTTATATTATTATTTTTTATTATTATATCTGTAATTAAATCAGGATTTAACAATATGTTTACGCCTTTCGCTTATATTTTTGAAAATTTATAATTTTTCATCCTTCTCTGTTGTAACTTCTTATAATATATATTTTAAATAAATAGGTATATATTAAATCATCAAAATTTAAAAGATTTTGTTTACATATTTATTCATTTATTAATTTATTAGATTAAAAAATTATTGATTATAGTTTAAAATACGGTTATAATTCTTAAATATAAAATATTCGGAAATTATTTTAAAAAGTGCATTTATATCATTTTATTTATAAAAATAAAAATAAATTAATATATTTATTAATAAAATGATAAATATATATATTTATATATATATTTATATATATCAAAAGTATTATTTATATGTTTTCTCTGTTTATTTAATTTTTATTTTTATTCAATATATTATAAAAAAAAATACATAATCGAAAGGAATATAATCTGTGAACTGATTCTGTTTATATACAATTGTAACTATACTTATGAGTAGAAATGCATTTAAGTAAAGTATAATTTAGTTTTGATTTTTTTTTTTTAATAACAAATAGATGATTGTTTTTCAATATATTTTCGATAAATCAATTATTTAATAAATAAATAAAGGAGTTTTTTTAAAAAAATGACAATACAATATAAATCATATTTAAACTAAGGCTTTAAACATTTACAAACAACTGAAAATTAAAGAATATCTCATACAATATTTAATACTAAAAATATAAAATAATAATAATTTATTATTCAAATATTTTTTTTATAAAATAATAAATTTATACTATATAATTATTTGATTGTTATTTTTTTTTTAAAAAAAATATATATATATTAATATAACAAAAACATTCTTAAATATTATCTTATTACTAAAATTTAAAATATAAAAGAAATAGAAATATATTAAAAAAGTATAAACTGTATTATTTATTATATATTTATAAAAAAATTAAATAATATAATAACATATTTATTTTTTAAATTTATATAAACATTATATTAAAAAACAAATATAATTAATTATTATATATATTAAATAATCTTAAAAAATCATTATTTTTTATACTCAAGTCTTTCTTTTCCTTTTTTTTCCTATTAACTTTTTTAATTTTTAAAATGGGTTTTCCATAAGCATTGACCCTGGATTAGGTAAATTTTAAATATTTTTATAAACTCTTGGAATAGAAAGACTTTAACTAACAGTTTTAAAATTAACATTAAATCCGTTTTATTTAAACTTATCTCTAACATTTTAAATTTCATCCATTATATTATTATTTTAAACTTCCAAAGAAAAATTTCTATAATAACCAGTAAAAGGTACATGAGTTTTAATCCTTTAATCTCTTTAATAGATAGATAGACTTTATTCTCTTCTTTATTTGATTTCTCCTTCTTCTATTGGTTCAAAACTTTATTAAGAAATAATTCTTCCTTTTAATTATCTTAAGTTTTAAATTTTAGATTTTTTTATTTCTTTTTAAAATTCGACTAGTTTGTTAATATTAAATTATTCGATTTCATTTTTTAAATTAACAATATTTATATTTTTACTGATTTTTTTTTTTACTAAAAATTCCAAGTTTCTGATATTTATTTTATGTTATTAAACTTTTACTAACGTTTACTTATTTCTCCATATTTAAACCCTAAATTATAATAATTAGATAAAAACTAAGTATATTCATATTTTTAATTTATTTAAAAATCAATTATTCCTTTAGAATACGCAAAATCTTTAATAAATTTTTCATGCTATTTTCTTTCTCTTAATTCTAGTAATTATTTATTATTTTTATATATTAATTAAGACTCGACTTTTTAATCTTAAATCTAAAAGGAATATGTATATGTATATATATATATATATATATATATATATATATATTTTTATTTATATATTTATATATTTATTAATATATATATTTTTATAACTCTTTATAGATATTCTGTTTAATTATATTATTATTATATACTATTTTCTTCTTTTTTTATATTTTTAAAGATAAATTATTTTTCTTGTTTTTGTATTCTTTTTTTACTATTATTTAGTTAATTTAATTTTCTATTTAAAATAAAATTACATGTCATCCATTTTACTATTTATTTAATATATTTTATTATTATTTTCTCCTTTATTTATAATATTCTTATAAATACTGACTTCATTTGGTCGTATTTACAATACTTAAGGCATTTTGAAAAACACATTCTGTGTATCTTAAAATTTATTCGTTTTTTATTCAAAATACCATTTATGTAAATAATATATTTATGTTTTTTATAAATTAATATCAGAAGAATTTATTATTATATTTAAATTAACTTTTTTTTATTAAATAAAATTTTTTTAATGATATTGTTTCTTTTACATTATAATGGTTTCATTAATTTATATTTTTATTCTTCTTTTAAATTCCTTTCTTTTTTCATAATGTTTTTTTTATAATCTTAATTCCAATTTTATATTTCTTATATTAAATTAATATATTAAATATTATCTTTTAAATGAATAGAATTTATGTTATCTATTCTAATTTAATAAATTTTTTATTTCTAATTTAGCTTTTCTAATAATTCCATTTAACTTTCAGGAATTTCAGTTTAGAAAGTATTATTATTATAACGATCAAATAAATCCATTATTTTTTATTAATTTTATATATTTTAAAATTAAAATATATAGATAGTAAAATAAATTTATTTATTTTAAAATTTTTTTAACATTTAAAAAAAAAATATTAAAAAAGATATATATATATATATATATATATTAAACAAAAAAAAAAGATAAAAAATAGAAATCAATTTTTTTAAAAAAAATAAATAAATAAATTTCATTAATATTTAATTTTTTTTTTTAAAAAAAATAAAAAAAAAATCTATAAAAAAAAACAAAACAAAAAAACAAAAAAAATCAAAAACATAATAAAAAATATGATATCTGAAAAAATAAAAAAAATATTTATTGGATTCACAATATTTTCAATTTTAATTTTATTAATTCTATTATTAACTTAATAATAATATAAAGGATTTTTTGGAAAAAAAGTAATATACATAATTTTAATTTTACTAATAATACTATTATTACATTTAATAATTAACTTATAATCATTAATAAAAATAAAAATATCCAATCTTAATATGGAAAAAGCAAACACTTTTGATTTCTAAACCAATTTTTTCAAATACAATAATTATTTTGTAAACAAAAAGCCCATACAAAATTATTTTTCCCCAAATATATAATAACTTAATACACCTTAGTATTTCCAAAACTAAGATTAAATACAATAAAACTAATACTAAGCTCCCCTGAATTCACTAAATTTTTAACCTCAAAGCAATTTTATGTACCTCAACAATAATAACAATATTAATAATGAGTATATTGAAAATACCTTCCAAAATAATAAATTTGGAAACAGTTTTTTAAATGATAATAAATAAATGTATTAAATAAAACGAAAAATCCTTTTAGAAAATCCTCTATAAGATAATTAAAATTATGATCCAAATTATATTGATTAATTTAATTAATAAAAAAGATAATCGATAGAACCTATATAATTAAAAGATCGTTTTAAATAAACTAATAATAACTCTCATATAAGTATAATTATATAATATATATATATATATATATATATATATATATATATATATTAAACATTTAGATAAAAACTTAAAATCAAATTCATTTAATCTTTAAAATTCAAGTATAACAAATAGATAAAATCCAAGAATTAATGAAAGTGCTAGATATGCAGATAGTTATTATGTAGATAAGAAAAAATTATGAGTATAA